CAAGTCCTGGGATTATAGGCATACACTCTCACACCCTGTTTTTTTTCTTTTAAAATAAATAATTATATATATATATATATATATATATATATATATATATATATAGTGTGTGTGTGTGTGTGTGTGTCTGTGTTTGTGTGTGTGTCTGTGTGACAGGGTCTCTCTACACAGCTCTATCAGTCCTGGAACTCACTCTGTAGACCAGACTGATCTCAAACTCATAGAGATCCACCTGCCTCTGCTTCCTGAGTGCTGGCTTTAAAGGCGTGGGCACCACACCAGGTACCATCACGCCCTGTTAATGTACTGTGACTACACAGGGCTCTGTGCGTGCTAGGTAAGCGTTCTACCACCTGAGCAGCATCCCCAGCCAGGGTACCTTCATTTTACCCCTCTCTTTCCTTCTCTGTGTGAGTGTTTTGCCTGCATGTATGTCTGTGTACCTTCTGTGTGTAGTGCCTTCTGAGACAAAAAGTATGTGTGTTGGGTCTCGTGGGACTGAAGTTCCAAGCAGTTGTGAGTTAACATGTGGGTCCTAGGAATTGAACCCGGGTCCTTTGCAAGAGCAGTCAATACTCTTAATCATTGAACCATCTCTCCAGCCTCCTGGAGCTTTCCTTCCTTGTTTCCTTCCTTGTTTCCTTCCTTGTTTCCTTCCTTCCTTCCTTCCTTCCTTCCTTCCTTCCTTCCTTCCCCCTTTCTCTCTCTTTCTTAGTTTTGAAATTATTTTTTCTCCTTTTTGTTTATCCTGTGTCTTTCACATCATGCATCTCCACCCCATTCATTTCCCTGCCCCTTTGTATCCATGCTCTGCCCTTGAAACCTCCTCCCCAAAATAAAATAAAATAAAATTTAAGAGAAAAAAGAAAAAGAGAGAGAAGGACAAATCAGTCTTGGTGGGGGAGCTGCAGTGTGTCACAGTGAGTCACACAGCAAACCCTTTTGTCCTTATACCTTTACTTGCAAGCGTTCATTGCAAAGAGAGTCATTGGTCTGTTTCGAGGTCTCTGGTTTCTACTACACTATTGGTGCTGGGCCCTCATGGGTCTCTTGGCTATCCTGCTGTTGTCCTATATTGTGGAGATCCTGTAACTTTGGGTCTGTGGGTTAGGTCCCTTCACGTGCTCCAGCAGATCACAGATGGCCTGGATATTGGGATGGGCCACCCATAACCTTGTTTCTGAGCCTGGGTAGTTGCAGGGTTGGTCAGTCTGCCAGCTCTCTCCTGTCCTCACCACCAAGGCAAGTTCTTCTGCATTGTCCTGGCTGTGAACAAGGGCCTGGGCCAATTCTCCTGTTTTCATGTCCTCCGGGTCAGATCTCCCACACCTACACCTTCAGGGCCAGCTCTCCTGTGTTACCCAGGCATGGTGTAGGGGCCACTCTCCCGAATGCTGCAGCTGATGAGGGGCAGGGCTAGCTCTCCTGCTCTTATGACCTTAGGGCTAGTTTTCCTTCCTGTCTCAGGTGTTGATGGGCGCTGGGAGGACATCTCTCCCCTGCCTATGCCACCACATGACAGATGAGTGATGAGGACAGCTCTCCCACACCTCCACTGAGCTCCCAGAGATGGCACTGCAGATTGTGGTAGGACCACACCACTGGGTATCATGGTGGTAGATTTGGGTTGTATTAATTTTGGCCAGAAGAATTGTTGCGGAATATTAAGATATGTTCCATTGATTTATGCTATGGAACTTTTGTTTTAATGATGCAAAGATGTGTTACAGTCTTTTATGTTGCATTTGTTTAATTCTGTGAAGCTGTGTTACTTTGCCTGTCTAAAACACCCGATGGTCTAATAAAGAGCTGAACAGTCCATAGCGAGGCGGGGAGGGGGGGGAAGGATAGGAGGAACTGGCAGGCAGAGAGAATAAATAGGAGATAAAAAGGGCTCAGGAAGCAAGGGAGATCAAGGAGTGAGAAAAGAAAAGGCCAGCCACCGAGTCACCCAGCCAGCCATGGGGTAAGAGTGAAAGCAAGATGCACAGACGTGAGAAAGGGAAAAAGCCCAGAGGCAAAAGGTAGGTGGGATAGTTTAAGAAAAGCTGGCTAACAACAAGCTAAACCAAGGCTGGGCATTTATAAGTAACAATAAGCCTCCATGTGATTTATTTGGGAGCTGGATGGCAGCCCCCCAAAAATAGCAAAAGAGAAAAAAATCCCAATAACAAGAATTCCTGAATGAAATGAATGCTGTGAGCTATTTTCAAATATTCTACTCAGTTCAAAAAGCACAATCAGCTGGGCAGTGGTGGGTGGTGGCTCACACCTTTAATCCCAGCACTTGGGAGGCAGAGGCAGAGGCCGAGGCACATGGACCTCTGTGAGCTCGAGGCCAGCCTGGTCTATAAAGCAAGTTTCAGGAAAGCCAGGACTGTTACACACAGAAACCCTGTCTTAACGCCCCCCCCCACGCCAACACAAAACCAACCCCCCTCAAAGTGCAATCAATCAGGGAAGAGGTGGTTGGGACATCAGCGACTCTTTATCTTTCCTCTTGCTCCATTTCAAGGATAGCTGCATTTACTCTCCAGTCCCATTTTCCCTCCACCCTCTAGTTATAAACTGGCTCAGTGGTTAAGAGCACCACCTGCTTGTCTAAAGGTCCTGAGTTCAATTCCCAGCAACCACATGGTGGCTCACAACCATCTGTAATGAGATGTGGTGTCCTCCTGGCCTGCAAGCATGAATGTAGGCGGAACACCGTATACATAATAAATAAATAAATAAATAATAAGTAAATCTTAAAAAAAATAAACATCAGCCAAACCTCCAATAGGGAGGGTTAGAAACTTAGGAGACATATTGATCACCATGTATTTTGTTATGTGTGTTATTTTTCTTTCACAATGTACTAGGTTTCAGAAAACAAGGTGTGTGTGTGTGTGTGTGTGTGTGTGTGGTGATGGAAAAGTCAGTATGCAAAGTGAGAGCGTCATTACAAGAGACACTGACTGTGAGAGATGCCGTGACTGAAAAATAACGCTCTGCACATTTCAAGTCACTGTACAGGGACCGCACTTGCCGATATGAAACAGTTGTAATTCCTATAGATATTAGGGGAATTCTCCCAAATTATCACTACAATTTTACAGTAAGTACAGATCCTTGATTGGGCTATAGAAGAAAGGGGGACTTGTATTGGGTAGGAAACATTGCCTCATTTAAAACCTAGGCAGACATCTTAAGCCTGAGAATGTTAACTGGATCTCTTAATGGGAAATAATGGGCACCCTCTTGCTAGTTCCACATTCCTGTGTGTTTCACAATGTCACACATACATTGGGCAGCTATTCTTTTCCTATCCACACTAGAAACCTACAAAATTCCTATTTAGATAAAAGAACTCCATTCAGTCCTGTGCATCTCAATGACAATCTGTTGCAAATTGCAGATGCTGGAGAACAGCCAAAGCCCACCACAGCAAAACTCCCTCCAGGCAGGGGAACGGTCTGTCCTTTCTGACTAGAGCTGGGCCTGATTGGAAACTCAGTAGGAGCTCTGTTGCTCCGCTTATCCCCCCCCCCCCCCCCCGTGGCCGGGGTGGGGTGGGGGTGGGGCTACGGAGCCAGCCAGCGGACGGACACCCTTTCTCAGTCTTGCGCTTACATTTTCACTTGTGTGTGGTGTGCATGTGTATATGTGTGTTCGTGCATAAGCATGTGTACACGTGCTTGTGGAGACCCGAGGCTTAGATTGGGCATCATTCTTGGTCACATTTTCACTTCATTCATTGACGCAGGGTCCCTCAGTCAAACCCAGAGCTCTTGGATATGGCTCGCCGGCTTCCTCCAGCGAGTCTGTTTTGGCAGGCATTTTATGCAGGCTGGCAAGGCCACCCTGTATTGTATGTGGGTTCTGTGGCTCCTTTGAACTCTGGTCTTCAGGTTTGCAAGGCAAGTGTTTTAAGGCAATCTCTCCAGCCTCCCACCCCTCCCCCACCCTTCTATTTGTCACTCTTTCCCAGCTCCCAACCTGTAAATGTGGGCATCCTCAAAGACTAGATCCTAGATTTCCTGCTTTATACTCTATATGCTTAGCTGCCAGGTTATTAAAGACAGATATTTATGTCAGAATCCCTTCTTTCCTTAAACTGTACCCCAGTTTTCGAACTACTGGGGAATCAAACTTCTGAAAGACCCCCACAGTATAGACAAACAGCTAAGCAGCAGCAATGCCAGGCTTAAACTTTGGAGCAACACAAGTAACATTAGAGCAGGGAAGTTCGACTTGAGAACAAGGGCGGAGAAGCCAGGCAAGATATCTGCGGTCAGCCGGTCAGCCATCTGGCCCCAAGCGATAAGGAACCCGCAGCTGGCCTGCTCTAATGAGAACATCCCGTTTGCTTAGGGAAACAGGAGGCCTATAGTCAGCACATGTGCCCAACTTAGAATATCAGTAATTCACAGAAGAGACAACTCCCCCTATGAAAGATCCCAGCTTAGCTGCTGTAACGTCATTTCACAAAGCTTTTGACGAACGACTGTAAGTGCAGAGTAAGGTCAGGGTCCCTGGCTGCAAAACAGGATATTTATATCCATAGATTCGGACAGGACATCAATTAACAGGATATCTGTTCCCATACATCTGTGCTGGGAGAGGAAAACCCACCTGTGCCCCTTGCCCCATTCCAACTGACCACTAACGATGCATTTGCTTCTGTAATCTGCTTCTGCTGCCCTCTTTCCTATAAAAAGACCTTCCTCCAGTCTGCAGGCGCGCTTGTCTCCCGAGAGACTAAGTCGCCCCAGGTACCTGTGTACTGAATAAAGCCTCTTGCTATTTGCATCCGAAGAGTGACTCGCTGTTCCTTGGGAGGGTCTCCTCAGCCTGAAAGACTGCCCACCACTGGGGTCTTTCATTTGGAGGTTCCACCGAGATTTGGAGACCCCTGCCCAGGGACCACCGACTCACCACCGGGAGGTAAGCTGGCCAGCACAATTGTTTTCTGTCTGTCTTCTGTCTTTTATGTTTGTGCCTGCGTTTGTACTGGTTAGCTAATCAGATTTGTATTTGGCGGACCCGGGGAGGAGCTGACGAGCTCGTACTCCCCACCGCAGCCCTGGGAGACGTCTCAGTGGTGTTTGGGGGCCCGATTCGTGGCCCATTTGCAGTTTGTGAGTCGCGTGGAACTGGGACTGTTGGGGGCTGCCCCACTGTCTGAGGGATTCGTGACTCTTTTGGGAGACGAGGAGCCCGGGTCCTCAAAGTCTCCGTTTGAATTCTTGCTTTCGGTTTTACGCCAAAGCCGCGCTGCGAGTTTCTGTGTCTGTCTAAGTTGTATTTTGTTTGTCTGTCTAATTGTTACTGTCACCGCGGTTGAGAGAATGGGCCAATCTGTAACCACCCCTCTAAGTCTGACTTTACAGCACTGGCGAGACGTCCAAGACATTGCAAATTACCAGTCAGTGGACGTTCGGAAGAGATGCTGGGTAACTTTCTGTTCCTCGGAATGGCCCACGTTCAATGTGGGCTGGCCAAGGGATGGTACTTTTGACATCAATGTTATCTTACAGGTAAAGGCTAAAGTGATGGATCCTGGCCCTCACGGGCATCCAGACCAGGTCGTGTATATCGTGATCTGGGAGGCGATGGCTTATGACCCACCGCCCTGGGTCAAGCCTTTCGTCACCCCGAAACCCCCTCTGCACCTACTTTACCCCCTCCACTCCTTCGCACCCCAACGGGACCTCCGCCCCACTCCTCCCTGTACCCAACCCTCACCAAGTCCCCGGTGCCCAAGCCCCCTCCTCCAAAAGTCTTGCCCCCAGATGATGACCTACTGATGGACCTCCTCACGGAAGGCCCTCCCCCATATCAGGAGCCAGCTCCATGGCCTCCGAATGAGGCTGACTCAACTGAAAGAAAAGAAGAACAAGCAGCGCCAGCCTCTGCTGGTCCTTCTCCGATGGCCGCATGCCTGAGGGGACGAAGGGACCAGCTGCATGCAGCGGATACAACCTCCTCACAGGCATTCCCTCTTCGCATGGGAATGAACGGCCAACTGCAGTACTGGCCATTCTCCTCCTCAGACCTCTACAACTGGAAACATAATAACCCTCCTTTTTCTGAGGACCCCTCTAGGTTGACTGCTCTGATTGAATCTATTTTGATTACCCATCAGCCTACATGGGACGACTGCCAACAGCTGCTGCAGGCCCTGCTGACTTCGGAGGAACAGCAGAGGGTCCTCCTGGAAGCCCGGAAGGAAGTCCGGGGACCTGATGGCCGCTCCACCCAATTGCCTAATGAAATAGATTCTGCCTTTCCCCTTGAACGCCCCTCTTGGGATTTCACCACGGTGGAAGGTAGGAATCACCTAGCCCTCTATCGCCAGTTGCTCATAGCGGGTCTCCACAGGGCGGCTCGACGCCCAACGAATTTGGCTCAGGTAAAGCAGGTTATACAGGGGTCAGAGGAAACTCCCTCTGCGTTCCTTGAGAGGCTCAAAGAGGCTTACCGCAGATATACTCCCTATGACCCTGACGACCCCGGACAGGAGACCAATATCTCCATGTCTTTTATTTGGCAGTCAGCTCCAGATATCAGATGCAAGCTGGAGAGTCTAGAGAACCTCAGGGAAAGCTCACTCAGGGATCTGCTAAAGGAAGCAGAAAAGATTTTCAATAAGAGGGAGACTCAGGAGGAGAGGGAGGACCGCCTAAGAAAAGAAGCTGAGGAGAGGGAAAAGGAAAGGGAAAAAGAGAGGGACCGCAAGAGACATAAGGAAATGAGTAAACTTTTGGCCACCGTAGTGTCAGGGCAAAGACAGGATAGACAGGGGGGAGACAGAAGAGGGCTACCCCTCGACAAGGACCAATGTGCCTACTGGAAAGAAAAGGGGTCTTCACCCAAAGGCTGGGGCCCTGGCGGCGGCCAATAGCCTATCCTTGCGGAAATGCCCTGGACCAGACCGGACCTGACGGATCAACCCCTCCGGGATGAGGATGTCACCTGGTACACTGACGGCAGCAGCTTTCTGCGGGAAGGTGAGCGAAAGGCGGGTGCAGCGGTAACCACGGAGACCGAGGTGATCTGGGCACAGCCTCTGCCTGCGGGGACTTCTGCGCAGCGAGCAGAGCTTGTCGCCTTGACACAAGCTTTGAGGATGGCAGAAGGTAAGAAGCTCAATGTCTATACTCACAGCCGATATGCTTTTGCCACTGCTCATGTTCATGGGGAAATATACAGAAGAAGAGGGCTACTGACTTCAGAAGGAAAGGAAATTAAAAATAAAACAGAGGTCTTAGCCTTGTTAAAAGCTTTATTTCTGCCTCGGAAACTGAGCATTATACATTGCCCAGGACACCAGAAAGGAGACAGCCCTGAGGCTCGAGGAAACCGGCTGGCTGATGAAGCCGCCAAACAGGTGGCCCTGCAGGCTCCGCTAGCCATACTGCCCATGCACCAAGATAAGAGAGACCCCCTCAAATATGATGAGGAGGATCTAAAGCTCCTGGCAGACATGGGAGCGGAGCAGGACCAGAAAACGGGCGAATGGACATGGAAGGGAAAAACAGTGATGCCGATGGCATACACTTATAAGATGCTTGATTACTTACATAAATTGACCCATCTAAGCCCCCGAAAGATGAAAACTTTGTTAGACCGGCAGGAAACTTTTTGCTATTTACTAGGGAGAGACAGCATCCTCCAAAAAGTTATGGACAAATGTAGAGCATGTGCACAGGTAAATGCAGGAAAAACCAAAGTGGGACAGGGGGTGCGAATCCGTGGACATCGACCAGGAGTACAATGGGAAATTGACTTTACTGAAATAAAACCAGGCATGTATGGATACCGGTACTTATTGGTATTTGTGGACACCTTTTCGGGATGGGTGGAAGCCTTCCCGACCAAGCATGAGACAGCAAAAATTGTGACCAAAAAGCTGCTGAAAGAAATCTTCCCCAGGTATGGCATGCCCCAAGTGCTGGGCACTGATAATGGACCTGCCTTCGTCTCCCAGGTAAGTCAGTTGGTGGCCAAGCTATTGGGGATTGATTGGAAATTACATTGTGCATACAGACCCCAGAGTTCAGGACAGGTAGAAAGAATGAATAGAACTATTAAGGAGACTTTGACCAAATTAACGCTTGCAACTGGCACTAGAGACTGGGTGCTCCTACTACCCCTAGCCCTCTACAGAGCTCGCAATACACCAGGACCCCACGGGCTCACACCTTTTGAGATACTATATGGGGCGCCCCCGCCCTTCATTAATTTCTTTGACTCCAACATTTCAGACTTTGCTAATAGCCCCTCTCTGGAAGCTCATTTACAGGCACTCCAGATCGTGCAGAGAGAGGTCTGGAAGCCACTTGCTGCAGCCTATAAGGAACAATTAGACAGACCAGCAGTACCTCACAGCTACCAGACTGGCGATACAGTTTGGGTCCGCAGACATCAGACTAAGAATCTGGAACCCCGCTGGAAAGGACCCTACACCGTGCTGCTAACCACTCCAACGGCACTGAAAGTTGACAGCATCGCGGCCTGGGTCCACTCCTCCCACGTAAAAGCAGCTCGTACGGAAGGAGATACAGCAGAACCGCTATGGAGGGTCCAGCGCTCTCAAAACCCTCTAAAGATAAGACTTACCTGGGGGCCCCATTGACTGGTTTATGGATCTTGTTGGGACTAGGGATGATAGTCCGGGGAGACAGCCCTCACCTGGTGGCCCCCACTTACCCCGGATTTCTGCCAGCTTGCAGCAGGATCAGAGATATGGGATATTCCTGATTTGCTACCTACACAGTTAAAGGACCGGGCAGGCAGCCGCTTTTCTCCTGGGGGAAAATTCGGCTGCAGAAGCCCTGAAGGAAGATGCTTCCTGGGGCAATTAGATTTCTATGTCTGTCCCCGGGATGGGCGGGAGCGAGACCAGCACCGACGCTGTGGAGGATGGGAAAGCTTATTCTGTAATGCCTGGGGATGTGAAACAACCGGGGATGCGTTTTGGAAGCCTAGCTCCTCATGGGCCCCCTAATCGTTATACTTTTAATCTTGCTTTTTGGGCCTTGTATCCTAAATCGCTTGGTCCAATTCATGAAGGACAGGCTGTCTGTCATCCAGGCTCTGGTCCTGACACAACAGTATCATCAGCTTAGACAGTTTGATCCCGAAGACATGGAAACCACAGCTAAATGAATAAAGGGTTTTATTCAGTTGATAGAAAAAGGGGGGGATGAAAGACCCCCACAGTATAGACAAACAGCTAAGCAGCAGCAATGCCAGGCTTAAACTTTGGAGCAACACAAGTAACATTAGAGCAGGGAAGTTCGACTTGAGAACAAGGGCGGAGAAGCCAGGCAAGATATCTGCGGTCAGCCGGTCAGCCATCTGGCCCCAAGCGATAAGGAACCCGCAGCTGGCCTGCTCTAAGGAGAACATCCCGTTTGCTTAGGGAAACAGGAGGCCTATAGTCAGCACATGTGCCCAACTTAGAATATCAGTAATTCACAGAAGAGACAACTCCCCCTATGAAAGATCCCAGCTTAGCTGCTGTAACGTCATTTCACAAAGCTTTTGACGAACGACTGTAAGTGCAGAGTAAGGTCAGGGTCCCTGGCTGCAAAACAGGATATTTATATCCATAGATTCGGACAGGACATCAATTAACAGGATATCTGTTCCCATACATCTGTGCTGGGAGAGGAAAACCCACCTGTGCCCCTTGCCCCATTCCAACTGACCACTAACGATGCATTTGCTTCTGTAATCTGCTTCTGCTGCCCTCTTTCCTATAAAAAGACCTTCCCCCAGTCTGCAGGCACGCTTGTCTCCCGAGAGACTAAGTCGCCCCAGGTACCTGTGTACTGAATAAAGCCTCTTGCTATTTGCATCCGAAGAGTGACTCGCTGTTCCTTGGGAGGGTCTCCTCAGCCTGAAAGACTGCCCACCACTGGGGTCTTTCACTTCATGTGTCCTAGGCAGGTACTCTTTCATTGTCTTTTTTATCTTTTAATTTTTTTTTCCAGGCAAGATTGCACGTAGCCCAGACAAGCCTTGAACTCCTGATCCTCCTTGTCTCCAATGCTGGGATTCCAGACCTATGCCACCCCACCTCGCTCCTTCTGTCATTGTTTTACATGTGTGTGTTGGTATGTGTGTGTTCTCAAATGTGCACACATGCATGCGAAGGCCAGGGAACGACTTGTGGTTCCTCTAGATCAATGGTTCTCAGCCTTCCTGATGCTGTGACCCTTTAACACAGTTCCTCATTGTTATGGTTTCTGTCTTTTTAAGAGGCAAGCCACGCCCACTCCAGGCGACTCTGGGCCTCTCCTAGGCGCCATCTTAGATTCTCTTGGTCTCCTTCTGGCGGGGGGGGGGGGGGGGGGGGGGGGGGGGGGGGGGGGGGGGGGGGGGGGGGCCCTTTCTGTCTCTTTAAGAGGCAAGCCACGCGCACTCCAGGCGACTCCGGGCCTCTCCTCGGCGCCATCTTAGATTCTCTCGGTCTCCTTCTGGCGGCCCCCCCCCTTTCTGTCTCTTTAAGAGGCAAGCCACGCCCACTCCAGGCGACTCCGGGCCTCTCCTCTGCGCCATCTTAGATTCTCTGCCCCCCCTACCGCCCGCCCCCCCTTTCCCTTCTCTCCTGTCTCTCTGTCTCTCTCCCTTCTCCCTTTCCCCTCCATAACCCCGTGAATAAATATTAAATCTTACTCTAATGTGTCTATCCATGTGTCTGCCTCCTGCCTGCCCGCCATGTTTCTGCCTGCCGCCAGGACCACGGCTGCCTGGCTGCCGCCTCATGGCCCCAGGGGAATTTGCAATGGCTCCGGAGCCCGGCAGCTGTCTCTGCCTGGGACTAGCTGCTCTGCAGGCTGAAGGGACCCACTCGGGACCCACCAGCATTTTTAAATCATAAAACTCATGTTGGGGTGACCCCCAAAAGTAATTTTTGTTGCTACGTCATGTTAATTTTGCTATTGTTATGAATCATAATGTAAATATTTTTGGAGATAGAGGTTTGACAAGGGGTTGCGACCCACAGGTTGAGAATTACTATTCTAGAAGCATCTACCTCACTCTTTGACAGGGTCCCTCACTGGCCCAGAGCTTTCTAAATAGGCCACGCTGGCTGGCCATGGAGCCCCAGGGATGTTCCTGACTTTACCTCCTCAGTGCTGGGATTATAAGTGTGTATCAGCAAGCCTGGTTTTTGTTGTTTGTCTTTTAATGCGGATTCAGGTCCTCATGTTTGCTAGGTAAGCGTTTTAACCAAATGAGCTATCTCCCCCGCCCCTCCTTCCATCATTTTTTTTTTGCTTGGCTGCATTTCTTTTAGCACTAGGGATCTTACTCAGGGCTTCACACAAGTTAGGGAAGTCTACCACTGGGCTATATCCCCAGCCCGTCCATCATTCTTTTTTAAATTGCATTTTCATATTCCTGAGTTGTGTGTGCATGTCTGTATAGGTGCATGTGCCTATAGTGACTACAGAGTCCAAAAAAGGATGCTATGGAGTTGGAGTTACAGGCAGATGTGAGCTGTTCAGTGGAGGTGCTAGAAACCAACTCGGGTCATCTGCGAAAGCAGTGGGGCTCTCAAACCACCGAACAACCACTCCAGCCAAAATAAATTACTTTAGTTGCCTGTGCGTGCATGTTTGCCTGCATCATGTATGTATGTACACCATATGCATGCCTGGTGACAGAGGACCCCTGAAAGAGGTACCAGTATAGAGCCATCCCCAGGTTCCTAAACTTACTTTTCCAGAAGTTTGTATAGTGGAAAACCTTATGGAGCTCAGGGCTAAAATAGCTCCTTCAAGAGCAGGTTTAGACCATTTTTCAGCCTCTTCTAAAACACTCCCCTTTCCTGGGACGAGAGAAATGGTCCAGTAGTTAAGAGATCTTGCTGCTTTTGGAGAAGGCCTG